GTGAAGAACGCTGTGCGCGGGCCCGAGCAGAAAAGTTGGGGATTTCAGCCAGGTAATTAACCACTATTAGACTATTAGCCACTATTAGCCACTATTAGCCACTATTAACCACTATTAATCACTATATTAAGCACTATTAATCACTATTAACTATGATTAACCAGGCCACTTTCAACTCGTTGGTTGATCAATGTAGTGTCAACTTGTCAACCACACCACATCAATGCTTATAGCGAATGTCTCTCTCTCTCTCTTCCAAAAGGACAGCATTGCTAGTCATCCTTTGCCGCGGTTAGATATGTTTAGACTGCATGCCATCAAAGTACCCCGTAAGGTAACCCTGCGTTATGTTAGTCTAAAGATGGGATACCCACAATTCCAACGGATTGTCATCCTTTTTCCCTTAATGATTGATTGCCAAGTATCAGGGTATAAACATGTCATCACATGTCACAATTTTCGGACAAATCCACTAATATCTACATTTCTTGGTTACCCTCCGGTAATCAAATGTGGCTAGCTGGAAAATCCACCATTTGTAGATGACTTTCCCATTCAATCAGCATGTATAGTGGATTTTCGAATGCCGTGTTTGATTGCCAGAGGGTATATTTGTCCAACTATATCTCAGAATACCCCAATGATTTCCCAATACACACTTAAGATGTGAAAGTTCCTTCTGAATTACTTCAAGCACATCGAGTTCACCCATTGAGCCAAGGTTCACAGCATTGGCAACGATTCCTTTGCTTTTAGAGGCAGGTGAGAGTCGGTGACAGTATGATATCATCCCGAAAATGGTGGATGACAATGACGAACCATTGGTTCTCGGGGGTATGGTACCCTATTTTGGAGTTGCCGTGGAGCCCATGGTGAGAAAGCCGCATATTATATAAGTAGCATCATATTTTGTTCATATCCCGGGAATCCCCATCATATTTCCATTTAAAGATCCCTATTGTTCATGGTTGAAGCATGTTCACCCCCATTTTCAGACACACTCATCATGCATTCTTTTCAGGCAAAGCGTGAAGTTGGTTTGTCGGAGAGTGAGGCGGCGGCTGCTGCCACGCATGCCACCAGAGTTGTTTTCTGTCAATTGTTTCGATGCTTTTATATGGGTTTAATTGAACATAGGATGCCAAAAAGTTCATTTAGTTAATAATCGTAGAAATGCAACTTTTTGGACTTTTCTTGGACATACACCCATTTGCCTCCTGCTTTAGTTAATTACTCGATGACGTTTGCACTCTTGTGTCATTTCATGAATTCCTTCCCTTCCCCTTCCCTTCCCTTCCCTTGCCTTCCCTTTCCTTTCCTTCCTTCCTTTTTGCATATTTCTACTTGATTCCTGGCTGGGGACTCAAACAAAACAGGAGGGAAAACCGCATCAGTCACCCACATGCCATGCTTCAAGAACTGCGGAAGCTCTGCACAGTAAGGACATATAAGGACAGGCGCCTGCTTTGTCTCTAAGTGACGAGTTAGCACAGACGTTGGTCAAACCACGCATCAGGTGTGAGTTGTTCAACCTATGAAAATAGATCGGAATTGGGTACCCAAGAAATTGTTTTTTCTGGAGCAGCGCGGCACAGCCACAACAAAGCAGCATTGACCACCAATTGGGACACGATGATGACTACGACAGCAATGAGAATGATTCGGGTCATGATCAAGTCCTTATCGTTGGTGGAAAAAGTTGCTTTCCCGGTGGATCCCTGTAGCACATTATTCACTACATGGCAAATGTCGATCCTCAGGGAAGACATTCGGCTTGTCAGCTCTCAGAGCATACAGTCATTAATGACTTGAGCAAAGAAACGATACACCATATTATGGAATTTCAGGGGGTAGATTCAGATATCACTGACAAAATCTCAGAAAAACTCATGCAAATACCATGAAAAACATCATCCAGAATATAGCTCAACCATGGTCAACCCACGTTGCATAAGAAAAGTCAAGGAAAAATGGACGGTTAAGTCGAACATAACCACAATCCTCTGTCCCTTCCGCCTTGAATTGTGGCTGTTGCCATATATTGGAGGCATGCCAGGATTTCCACAAATGACTAAGCGAGCTGTGCAGATCATTTTCGCAGCAAGGCCTGCTTCATCGCTCATGCCTACCTTCGAAGTGCAGAGGCGCCACTTTTTGTTCTGGAACCGAGCTCTGAATGAGGTTCCCCAATCTGCTCAAGCTGCGATGGTATCCAAAGTGAACGTAACTTATATGAATTCTCCCAAAAATGAGGGTGCATACCATTTTCAGCCACACTTGCATAGTATGACTGCACACGACTGCACCAACTCCTTTTCTCGGGCTATGTGAACTGTTCATCAACATGAAAGGAAGACCTTGCAGAAATTGAGGTTGGAAGACTGGAATCCTCGTTTTTATGGTTCCAATGACATGATGCGGACAGGATTCATACCAGCAAAATAGAACTCTTAGATGGATACCACAAACAGAAACAACTGGCCGAATTTACAAATTCATACGATCGCATTGTTTTCTCTTCAACCGACGATCGATATCGATCGATCGCAGTGAAAGGGTTTTTTTTGTCGTGTTTTTTGATGCTGAAACCCTCAGCTCCAAGATTCAAGACCGCCCAAATTTTGTGGCATCCTCTTTGTGCTATCAGAAATTGCTCTTGATAAAAAAAAAATCGCAAAAGACATCGAAAGAAGGTACGCGCCTCGCATTTGACCCTACCCCAATGTTCTGGCATATGACCCTACCCCTGTTCTGGGTAGGGTCGAATGTGAGAAATCGGCGGTTTAGCTTGCGAAAACGAGGTCCAGAGTTCTATTCTTCCATGTACGTTGATGTCTTGCGCACAGGGCGATGTCTCGCTTGTAACTCCTGTACATGTGCTCGCTTGTAACTCCAACATGTATTCGCGAGTAACTCCAAAATCGTCATCATTCATCATTCATTCATTTGTTCGTTCATTCATCCATCCATCCATCCATCCATTCATTCAGTCAGTCATTCAGTCATTCAGTCATTCATTCCATCATCATAATCATAAAAGTCATCACGATCATCACCGCCATCATCACCATCAACAAGAACATACACATTTCATCATCAACATCAACATCATCAACATCATCAACATCATCAACATCATCATCATCATCATCATCATCATCATCATCATCATCATCATCATCATAAACATGACCGTCATCACGATCATCATCATCATCATCATCATCATCATCATCATCATCATCATCATCATCATCATCATCATCATAAACATGACCGTCATCACGATCATCATCACCATTAACAACAACATGCATATTTCATCATCGTCATCGTCATCGTCATCATCATCATCATCATCATCATCAACGACTATCACACCCACCCCCAGGCCAGAGCCAGGAGAAGATCTGATTGCATGGCATCATGTCGGTGCAGTTGGAAGATCTCATAGTATAGTCCCCATTCTGTGTGGAGGTGTGCCGTCCTTGGTTTGCAAACGTTAAACATCTGTGTTAGCGAACGTTAACATCCCACCCCATCCCACCCCACCTATAGGAGGTACTTCTAGCTGACAGAGCGAACCCCTCAAAACCACTGGACTGCTTTGAATGGAAACCAAGTCTCGTTTGCCACTGAATTGCTGTCCTGTATACATAAGAGTTCGAAATAACCCCTTCCCCTATTGCTAAACGTACCCCGAATATTTAAAACAGATTAAAACTAGGGTCTATTTCCAATTTTGGGAAATTGTAGGTGGGTCAATTTGATCTTTCGTTGATCCCTTTCAGAAAATCGTTTAAAAATCAACGTCCAACCGGTCCAACCTGAGGGTGTCACCCCAGAATGAACACGAGTTATCCCGGTGTATTTTTAAAAAAGGGTTGTTTTTCAAATGGAACATCTTAAATTTTAGTGTCTTTAACGAGTTGTTAAAGATTACTAAGGGGAAACTTCGAAGTCCAGTTTTTGGCAATATTTTAGTTGGATTTTAATAAGTACTTTGATCAATTTTGAATTGGAAACGAAAATAGTTTCCTAAAATCTAAGTGTTCATTTTATTGTAAATTTCGCACCCGGATACTAAATACACCCTCTAAAACTACTCCAGGTGTTGATTAAAATTAGGGAGTGGGTTTAGGGCCCGGTTTTGTATTCCGGGAGAAGATTTCTGGGAATTTGTGGTTTGACTTCAGGGTCAACAGACTACGAACCAACAGACTATAAGGGATTCAACCAACTCCCGTTGCGGCAATGCTCCCGTCCAGGCCTCGGAGGCTCTCCGTGACACTTCTCCCAAGTGCAATGAGGCGATGTGTTCCACCTTTTGGATAAACCAGGATGAACCAGGTGAAATTGATCCAGGAATTGTATGGAATTGTATTTGACAATTTTTTTCAATAGGAAAACGCTTGGCATTGGGGGGGCACATTTCAAAGAAAAACAAATCGAGGGTCAAAATTTGGTGGCCAAAGATGAGAACATTTGAAAGAAACAAGGCCTAATATGTTGTGGCTTCACGGCCTAATATTTTGACCCATACCTATGGCGACAAATGGGTAGCAAATGACCCACATAATTTTTCAGAACTGCTCACTTTGAGGACGTTGAACCATCATCCATTGTTAGGGGTGTATAATTATCCGTATAGTATATTATTACACCTTTGATATTGATTAATTATATAGCTGATATTGATTTTGTACAATTGTGATGCATTTCCATTAAAACATGGTTTTGGGTAAATTACAACGGCTTCACTGAATGACAAAACCCCATCTCGCCCAGAGCTGACATTGAAATTAGATGAATTCAGATGGTTTAGTGGATTTCCGTAGATGTTTGGTCTGCAGATGACAATCCAAAGAGGACCAGAGGTAACTGCCAAAGAATTATTATTCGTTTGTGATGAAGTGATTTGGGATATTTGGGTGTCCGGAGACTGCAGTGATGTAGCTGGCCTACTGCATTCCTTTCAGCTCAAACCCATGGAGAAATTTGGTATTTTGCAGAGATCTTTTTTTATGCATCATGGAAGATGACGTTTCGTCATCGGTTCCATCAGGTCAGGGGGACGGGTGGGACCGGTGGGACGGATCCAGAAGGTCCAGAAGTTGGAATTCTGACCCAAAATAAAATTGAAGGTGAGGCTCAGGAGTCATGGATTTTTGGTTGTTCAGCGTCCATCCTTTCTTGTACTGTTATTTCTGTGCTGCAATTGGATTTTCGATGGGTGCAAGTGACAATGCTTTACAGAACTACTTGCGTGATGGCAAAGTTGAATGAAATTCACCAGAATGCTGAATGTGAAACATGGTGTTGTACAGTTTTGTTTAAAAGCAAATGGATTTGGTGAATTGTTCCGGGGTACCAACAGCACGGGTTTTGCGCATGGTCCTTCATATGCCAAGTTACATGTCACATTAGGAGAGAAGCACCATGCATTTGATGCATGAAGCAATCACTACATTAAACATACCTAGATAATAAAATGTAATCGTCTATGTTACGGCATGTTATGTCCAGGTTCCAGTTGAGTTGTTTTAAGCACAGACATGTCATCCTCCGAGCGCCAGACGCGGCTGTCCCGGAAGAGGATGTTCCTTGGAAATGTTTTTTTTCGTGGCCGCAGGATGTGGAGCATCCCCCATGAAAGAACTCCAATGATCACCGTGACCTAAAGAGATGTATATAGTTTTATATGTAGTTGTTTTGATAGTTTTGATTTGATAGAAATCAATCAAGTTGTGGTGTGTCTTTGGCTCAGCTGTTGCCACTGCCCATGTTTTCACCCACCAAGTGTCAATACATCTCCATTGTTAAGATATATTGTTCATTTTGGTTGTTCTGGGGTGAGGATGGATATCCGCCCCCTGTGTAACTGAGGCAGATGTCGATGCATGGGAGATCAATGTAAGCACATTAGAGGATTTGACACTATCTGCAGATGTAGCGATGCTTGTCTTGCAGTAGTTCCAGCACAGCTCTTGGCAGAAGGACTGAGCAATGTAATTTATCGTTGGATTGTTTTGTGACGGTGGCTAGTAATGAATATCTTATTATATAATCATCCAATGACCAGCCAATCTTAGGTTGTTGCGATGCAGGGTTATCCAATATATCATTGGGGTTATTGCATGTTATAGTTAATTATCCAAACATTAGTGATGATGTCATTTACATTATATAATATTTATTTGTACACAGTTGGAGAGGCCATGGATTGGAAGCAGCAGCAGGGGAGTGATAGAAACGTTGGAAACCTGGAACATATGATGGAAAATATGGGGTAAACATCCCTCTTTTTTCGGGGCTACTATTTGTTGTCTAAAGAATCTTCGGGTCCACAGGTTTCTGCGGTGTCTGATCCTGGATTGCCAATCAAATTGCCTTTTCGATTGCCTTTTCGGATGTCCGTTGCACTGAGGAAGGAGGTCACAGATATTTGGAAAGCCTATGTCGATACCTTCCAAAGCGAACAGTCGGCAGGCCGGGTACTGATCTGTGAACTTCCGTGGCTTTGGCTAATGCCTTTCAATCCATTGGCACATGATGCATTTGAGCAGTGCTGCTCTTGCTGCTTCTGGTAGCTGCGAGGCGAAGCCATCTTCAATGCAATTTTTGAAGTCGCCCCTTCCTTGCAATCGCTCTTTGTCGGTCCAAGAGGTGTTCAGGCCTTAAAGCACCTTGCCGGAGATTTCAGGGAGATTTCCTCAAGACTGGGCTACAAAGATACAGACTCGAAATGGAGGGACACCGGACCTGAATCAATCATTGGGTTTAATGTGTGAATGTTGCTGAATTTTCGAACAGCAGCGCCCCCCCACATCACACTCCTGCAATTTGCAATCATGATAATCATGAGATATCATGAGTGTTGGGCATAACAAGAACAAACTCCGGTTGAACTGGACGAGTGTAGATGTTCACCCAGAGTTCCCGTTGAAGAACATCAGATTGCAAACTAATTAAGTATATTAAGCCCATATTCCGCTGCCCCGCCACATCATCTCAAGCGATGGCGCCTTTCGGCGCCCAGATTTGTGAATGGAGTGAGCTCAGTCATTGCGAACCTCCTGAACCCATCTGCCTTGAAGATCGAGGTTGGAAGGAAATCGGTCGCACATCTATACTGCTCCAAAAACTGTTGCATGGGATATCACATATAAAAAACCACAAAACATCCATGGTGTAATTGTGACAATGAAGGGGCTGATGGGCTAGATTATGCTAGTTCTTTTTTGATGTTTTGCCATCAAGTGATTTATAAGTTATACAGTTATACATAGACCAATGTGAAAGTTCCAAGAACATTCCAAGATCGGAAACGCATTTCAGATTTGAGCACAGCCAGGTGGAGACCATGGCTTTTGCCCATCTCAATTACGAAGCTTGTTTGAGACAAGTAAGTTGTCCTCGCAGGACAAGGCAGGCCATACCAGGCTTTTGAGGGCATGGTTTGTGGGAAATTCTGGCAGCCTTGGGTTCCTGGCAAACACCCAAAGGCACCATGCAAGCTGGCCGAGGCCAAAATGATCCAAAATGCATGGAGGACCCCACCATTTACCCTCTGGTAATTTAACATAGCTATTGAAAATGGCCATTTATAGTGAGTTTTCCCATGAAAAATGGTGAATTTCCATAGTTATGTAAACGTTTACCAGAGGGTATGGCAAGTTTCAGATAGTTTCATTGGGAATCTGAATATGATGATCAACCATGGGGTACAGTGGGGCATGCCGGGCTGAGGATATTACCGTGCCTCGGGTGACATTGTTTCGAGATGCTCGGCGGAACCACACAAGGGCCGACTCTTACAAACATCAAATGAATAAAATGAATTCAAATAGTTTGATGATAGGGGGCGTCTATGGGCTTATTCTATTATTTGTTTTGGTGGATATTTCCAAGTTCCCGCATGGTTCCCCATTTCTAAAGCCCGCAACTTGTGTATTTTCTGCTCGCAACTAGGCATCGGGCAGAACCACGGAGTGTTACCAAGCTCTTGCCCCACATACGGGTACTACAGATCTCTATGATTCTCTATGGATATCTATGGCCATTTTTTTGATGTTTTTTGTGCATCAAGTTGTCATAAAAAGGATTCTATTCTCGACCTCTTCGAGACAGAGATGGGAGATGCCTTTAGCGCTTGGGCTCGCGATGGATGGGGACAACTCCTTTCATACATTGGAGGCGCCCTGATCTGGGTGCGGGTCCCTTGGCTTAGCGTACAGGCTGAAGCTGGTCTTGCCAAAACCAATTTGAGATAATCAAATCAAACAATATCAAACAATTAGACATCGAGTTATATATATATAAGTTATATATGGCATGACATGGTTCAAAATCAATGCAGACAAGAGATGACAAAAGTGTGGTGCTCGAGGAGCCAATGGCTTCACCATCCTGAAGAGATCTGAGGTCCATCCCACGATTTGGGTTTCTCTGAACATGTGTTTCCACAGGCCATCAAATATATCATCATATATCATGTTCAGAGAAACCCATTAGTGTTCTTAAAGCTGTTACTTACTATAATTAATATCAGTATATCATGTATTTCACATTATAGTGTTTTTAAAACTGTTATTTCACCTAAAAACATACACATGGCCAGCAAAATCCATCACATATCATTAACAGTAAACAGGGGTTGGTAACTGTCCCATTTTGGGAATATTGAACATCACCTTATAGTAGCTATTATAGACCATATACCTAATGGTTGGGTATGGTTGGGTGATGTTCAATGGGGACATTTAATGACCCATGGTAAAACTATGTTGAATTCACACTGCTGTTATTTCACATGAAAACCCGATGTTTGTCGGATGAACTTACTCCTGGCGCGCCAAGGCCAACTTTTCGGACCGCCTACGAGTTCTTCAAGAGAGCTGGCAGGCGGCCAATGAGGTGGGCAAACGACAGATGACTGAGGCCGGGATGACTTTCGTGGTTGAATGGACGAATATGGACGAATAATGATGAATCTTGTCATACTAAACAACAGTATAATTATAGTCGGGTTCATGTTCATACCTGACCTGGGATGTTTTGGGTACAGGAATTGTCGGTAGTTGACATTGAGAACAGCTTCTAATCATGGTAACCATGGGGATATTTGTAGACTGCAGGGCGCATTGTGAAGGTTTTTGCTTTCCCGATCTTTCCGCAGAATTTACCATTGATGCAAGGCTGAAAAGCAGCGAATGTTGCATCAGTCAAAGAAAGACCAAAAGCGGAAGGACGGGGACAGTGGGGACGAGATGCCTTGAGTCAATCCACTGCGCCTCTTACCCTCTGGTAAACATACAAAAAGCATCAAAAAGCTATTGAAAATGGCCCATTTATAGTTGATTTACACATTAAAAATGGTGTTGTTCCATAGTTATTGTTAGTTTACCAGAGGGTAAATCATGTTAGTGGATTGTATGATCGCGGTTGTACGACCAGCAAATCAGTGGCATGTGATTTCTGATGCCTGTACATGTAAGATGTGTTTGCATACACGAGAAGAAAACAAGAGGCCGTACCTGAATCTAGTGGCACACAAACTTGGAATGGGTTTGAGTGGCTCTCAGACCAGTAAGAGCAAATTCTAGCCACCCTTGCAAAAATTGGTAGCTGTGTCGATAATTATATATATTATTATGTATATTATATGTTTCCGCAATTTGGCTTGCTGTGACTGTGTTGCTCTTGTTTTTGGTGCAATTGGCAGAGATGAGGAGGATTGGGTACCGGGTACTCTGACGTTTTCACCTGCCGGTGCTGAAATGTGCTGCGAGGACGATGAAAAGCCTGAGAAAAGTGTTGAGATCGATCCAGAAGTAGCGAGTACTGATAGTCCAGACAGTTCTGGCAGCAGTTTCTCTGGTCAGACTATGCAGACGGTGCCTTGATTTGATTCTTGAACAGAAAGGCTGCAACTACACATAGCATCACATAACTACACTCTTGATAAATCTGATATATGTTTTGATCATGTGCTAGAGGCTGTCCATGTTTTTGTAAATGAGATCCAAGAATGCGCCAGAGGCTGGTGTTTGCCCAAAAGATCCCATTCCAAGTCACTTAGGTCGGGCTCCACCCGAGCAACAAAGTGATGACCAGCAACCGTTGCAGTCGAATGATGGGTACACTCTCCAGGTTGTGCAAGCGTGACACGGGTCCCAAATATGATATCGAAACTGGCCGAAAGGACAAAGATGCCAAGAAGGTTCAGGAACATCAAACAACACATGCAGCGAAAGCCAAAAATCAAACACATCACATCGATGTGCCCAAGACCTTTGACGAAATGTTTCAGTGGAACTCCGCAGTCATGGGCCTTTCTGGTCGGAAGTGGATGCAGGAGGTCTTGAATTGCTTCTCCGCCATGGTGGAGCACATTTCAGATACGAAACGCTTGCAACAGGAATGCAACGTCGTTTCAATACGCATTGCAAAAACCTCTGGGGATAACGTGAATCTTTCAGAGTTCAAATCATGCATGCTGGCTGCCTTGCGATCCCTACTTCCAACAACTTGGGATACCAACCATGAACTGGCTTGGAATTGGCTGCTGGGCACTGTAGTAACTGTAGTACGCGTTCCATTTTTGAAGCATGAAGCTTTTTGCCATGTCGGCAATCCAAGCAGAATGTAATTTTAAACCACGGACATTTACATGAACTTGGAAGTTCATGTGGACGTTGCGAATCAATGCCCATAATAGTTGCTAAACCCGCGGGAAAGTCATTGTTACCATCTATTTAGATCTATTTAGGGGTTGGAGCCCACTTCAAGGCGCCATAGGCCACATTTTCCTTGGCAGCAACCAAGGCTTTGGGATAACATTGAAACTGTGCTGAAGAAGACCATGGGGAAACCACTTCTTTGGGAGTTGCTTGGCATGTCAGCAGATATGTTGCTTTAGCGATCTTGGAAATTATGGAAAAGTGATTAGTCAACCAAAGCTTCTGTTTCAGTTTTGTTACTTGTTGTTTGATGTGTTTTTTCCTTGTAATCCTAGTGTAAGCACTGCTCCATGATGCTCCATGATCCACTCCCAGAATTGAAGGGACCATTTAAGGAACACTTGGGGAGTCAAGACACCTAAAAATCCCATGGTTGAAAGTTTCAATCCATTGATCCAGCCAGATCCAGGCAAAGCCTCTCAACGATGCTCGCAAACCTGAGCGATGAAGAGAAACACAGCTACCGCGTTGGGCTCTACGATCGCTACTTTGCAGCTGTTCCCGCAGGTGGGACCGAGGGTGGGACATGCCCAAAAATGGATCAAAAATGGCCGAAAAGTTCCGGGTGTGGTTTGGAGCTGGGATTTTTTTTGGCCCAAAAAGGCGGGATATGTTAGACCAACATCAACCAACAATAATGGAGATATGATATGAATGGGATATGTTCTTTGGATATCAATGGGATATACAATTACAAAATTGGCGTACTGTCTGTACAGGCATCCAATTATGGCCATCAAATAATTCGGAGCATGATTGTACACGTTGATGATGTTGATGATGAAGATGATGAAGATGATGAAGATGATGAAGATGAAGATAAAGATGATGAGTGGGATTACTGTAGAGGGTCCTACATTTTATCAAAATGTTCACACAAACCCATGTAGTCCAGCCTAGTGGAATCAGTGGGTGAAACCCTGGCAATTGACAGCCCCTTTTTATCCCTTTTTAACAGAGGATCGTCATCTATAAGAATCTGTTGGTTTGGAACATTTTTTATTTTTCCATAGTGGGAGGAATATTCCCAACTGACTAATATTTTTCAGATGGGTTGAAACCACCAACCAGTATAGACAGTATAGATTATTTGATTATATATGATAATAAGAAATGATGCGACTTATTTTCCATCGATATCCATCGATCATTTCTTCAATATACATGGGAGATGTTCCCTTTCCAGTGTTGGTTACCAGGGCTTTTTCATACAGGAGTTCCCTTGTGTTGTTTTCCCACATGATGCACGTGTGGTGCGTTACTCGAATTTCGTCCGGGTTTCTGGGATTTGAATTTTTGTGATTTTCCATGGTCAAATCTCCCGCAGATTTGATGGTTCATCATCTTCCCCACTTCATTTTTTTGGCGGGGGTTACAGTATGGTATACCTCATTCTAAGACACTGCCAAATGATGATGATTGTAGATCCCATTGTCATCCATTATCCCATTATATCATCAAATCCCATCCGAAAATTTTGTCATGTTCCACTTTCCCTTCTCAGGTTTCGTACCCCATTTTCATCCATTTTCAGTGCCATACATATCATACATGGTACAGATATTATATGGGAACTCATTAAAACATCTTATATGAAATCCCTATTGTCAGGTCAGGACTACTTCAAACAATCCAACACGCGCTTGCACTTCATCGCGGACCGCGCCACTGTGATGTCGCTAGAGCTGCTGGGTGAGCCTTGGCACATGGTCGACGAGATCTCGGCCTTGGGCTTGAGACATGTGGGCTATGGCATCCCCACAGAAACTTGGCGGAGAACTTGGCGATCAGGTACCCTGCCACCCTACCCCTGGTGTTCACATCAACAATCATCAAAAATCGTGAATTCTCAGATATATTCTGATAATGTGGATGTTCATGATGTCCCAAAATTACATTGATTAAAATGGGGTTGTCTCAGTTGTCTCAAGTTTCAAAGCATACGAGTTATAATATGTGGTTCCTGCTTGATTTTGACTCAAATTCAATGGATTTTGTTCACTGAAAAACAACTGCTGGTATTTATAAAATTTAAGTGATCACTTCAACAACTGCAGGTATTTAGGTGATCAACATTGATCAACCATTTATATCAATAAATTGGGGATACAATGGGATTTCTGAAGGCTGTTTTTTTCGGGCGTGGACCAACTCAAAATGATTTTCGGGCGTGGATCCATGGAGGATCCAATGGATGGGTCATGGGATTCCTACCGGAGCCGGGAGGAACTGGCCCAACAGAAACCCGTCGTGGTAAAAAATCACAGAACAACGTGGAAAACCCATTGAAAACCCATGAAAACCCATGGTAAAACCATAGGAAAGTCATCTACAAAGGGCGGGTTTTCCACGTCTATGTCGGTTTGCAGGAGGATGAGTATCCTATAGTAGTGGAATTGACAGCCTCTTTGGTGCGTTTTTGTTTGGAAAGATTGAGCAGAAACGCACCGAGCTGAAACAGTCTGAAACAGGGTCTAGAGTCACTAGAGTCTAGACTCTAGACTCTAGACAACTCACGAGAAGAATGCATGTTCATGACGGGCAAACCGGCAAAGCATCTCCCACTTTGGGTCAATGGCTGTAGGACTCTCAGAACGGAGAGAGCAAGAATTACAACAGCCAGCTATTTTGCTGCGGATACAAGATGATACTTTGGGGTACCATGGTTTTGACCCACACCCAAATGGGTATATGGATCAATACCTATAAATACCATTTTTAGGGGGATGAACATCCATTTACCAGCTATTTTGATGTTCACCAGGGGTACAAGGTTTTGACACACTGCCAAATGTCAATCACAATAAGATGCCTGTCATTGCCGTCTCGCAGGAGATGCCGCAAAAAACAGCTACAAACCTCTATGGCTCGGGAATTTCCAAACCTGCCATGTTTGCCATGTTTGATTAGCCAAAGTGGAACTTTTATGGAAACCCATTTATATCCATAAATTGGGGATACAATGGGATTTATATATGGATTTATGCCATGTTCTCCATGGAAGTTTCTCCTTGGATTTTTGCACTTTCGAGGAGATGTTTTCGCCCTTCATCGAAGCAGCTGTTGACTCGATGAAACGATTTGTCGCTGATCAGACGGCCCTACAGGCCTTTAGCACCTTGATCCAAGGGGGACAGCATCTGAGCCCAAAAAGCTAAGGAAGGGTTGTCTTTCGGCAATGTCCCAACAGCAGATGGGCCCAGATGGGCCCATAGGGAGACGGGCCAGTACTTGATTCGAATTGAAGCCCAAACCGCCAGTACTGTTTAGGGTGACTTTTTTTTGCATAGAAACTTACTTGAGAAAATGATCTTTAGAATTCTTTAGATTCTTTCGGAAAGGCACTGTTTTTTTCAGCCTCATTTTTCAGTCGTTCTCCGATGGTCCGATGGACATCTTTCCCGCCTGAGGCTGGTCCTTGGGCATCATTGCACAGATGTTGGTGCACACTGTCACCGAGGGTTCCACCATTGTGACATGGTGAAGAATGAATGGCGGCAGAGTGGCAGTGGCAGCAGTGGCATCGTTCATGGAAATGGCATGAAATGGCTGTGGGTTCAAAATCAGTGACCCCATGACAATCTATAAAATGGATTGGTGGTTTGGAACATTATTTATTTTCCATAATATATATATAATTATAAAATATATGGGATAATCCTTCCAGATGGTTAAAACCACCAACCAGAAATGGATTGAATGAATTGATGGCATGGTTCCCGAACCATAGGGATGGCATTGATCTCAGCTGTCAGCTTCCCATTGCACGAGTAGATGCTGCGACGGAACGAAGTAGCCAGTCCAATCAATCTGTAGCGAAGAGAATGTCCCAAGATTTCTCAAGTTCTAGTGATTTCCGTTTGTTTGCACAGGAATATCAGATGATATCAGATGTGACTGTCCTTCCATTGAACCCCATGGTGTTGGAACATGCATCGCAGGCCGTCAGAACAAGTTCAAATATGATCAGGATGCTTTATTGATCTTTATTGATCTTTATTGTTTAGCAGTGTAACTATAGTGCAACACGCAATTTTACATTTCAGAAAGCTCTGTATGTGTAACTTCCACATTTTTCCACATCTCGAGGTGATGAAAGCCATCAACAATAATTCGCATTCCCAGTTGCAGAGCGCCGTGAACTCGGCCCCACGGGGCGATCGCTTCAATTGGGTTCTGATTGTGAAGGCAGGTTCCCAACTGAGATGTCATGATGTCCCCATGTCGTGCCACCCAATATGTCACTATTAATGTACCTATATCTGATGTCACTCTGGTTTAAGGGAGATCAGGGAGATCTTCAATAGCAGTAGAAAGACAATGAAAGATAGAAATGCAGAATCAGCTCTATTTATTTGGTACTTAGTTGATTTAGTTTACTTTGAACTATGACACATCGACATTGGGTAAAATAAACAAAAACAATTGGCGGTTTTACCCCATTTCACCTGCACCGTCGTCGACTCCGACTCGCAGGTGGGTACACAAGATATCTCGCCTTTAAGATGGGCCATCGAGAGCGGAAGTTTAAGCGCTGCCAAGGCAATTATTGAGGACTTGCTGACCATCAGAGCTGACCGAGAAAGATATTATTATGGCGTGGATGCGTTATTTCTGCGGCATCCAGATATCGTTCCGATTATTTGCTCTGAAGCTCCATTGATTCTAGGAACCTTCCTGGAGGGATTGGTTTGGCGGTCGCGGCTCACAAAAGACGGCTTGCGGCGCGTGAACTACTACGTGAAAAACCTGGTCATCGATGCCCATGGTCATTTCTCTGGAGCCTTGCAGGCTTTGGTCCGACTGGGTGACCCTAAGATCATTTCACATCCGACCATCGACTTGGTGTCAAACAGATTGTGGCATGGTGTTGTGAGTCGGCAGTTTATGCTTTCGAAGCTCTGGTTCATCTTGAGCTTGGTGATTCTTATGGTCAGCCAGACCCTTTTGCCAGAGCAGCCTGGATGGATTGCCATACACTTTGATTTCTTGTTGCTTTTTTTCATGTTTTTTTTGGATCAGATGGGTTTGTTATGGTTTATTGATGTTTATTGTAATAGTGATATGATGATATGATAATGTTTACCCTCTGGTAAATAAACATAGACCCTGAAAATCACCAATTTTTAATGGAAACTAGTCTTCCAACCCCTATCTGCCAGGGTCTATGTTAATTTACCAGAGGGTACCATTAGTTTACCATTGCTCCCAGTAGTCAAATCTCAGCATTGCGCACCGCACCGAGGTACAGGGAGTCCTTTGAAGTTCGGGTGGCTACCTTGGTGTGTCGAATCCTCACCTATTTGCTGACCTTGATGGTCCTGTTGGCCCAGCACTCCCGTGATATTGTCGTGGCATACATGCACCGTGATACCGTGCGCATCTTCAGAAGAATACCAGTACCCCGCTACCTCACAGAATTCTACCACCTTGTCTCTTGGAACAACGGAAGTGACGTTGGAATGATGGGGTACTTGACGGAGGTAAAATCTAAGAGCGGCATTCTCCAGAACCGTGATCATACATTTCAGACTCTAGTAACTCTATAATAATTATAGGAATGGGTCCTTGTTTGTGTTCCATCCATTGAATGAAGCACAGACACAGGCACTCGGAAATTTGGAAATGCCATAGTCGCATTCTCTCTGATACGGAATGTAGTGCATTTGTGGATCTTGCATGCAAAGCACTTGGAGTATCTTAAATGTGCTTCGCCCATGTCACCCGAGCAGCTACTGGCTTTCGCCAAGGCCAGTTTGATGCTGATGATTTGTCTTATTCTGATGCTGAGCTACGAGCCTTTCATCTATTGCCACTATTCTGAGGACCTCCAGATGGGTGAATTGTGTTTAGTTCTTTCTTGATTTGTTTTTTTTTCACAGAGGAGCCGAGCCCATCAGCTTCCTTGTTTGTTTGACTTTGCTGATCACTTCTTGGAGTTCCCCTGCCTTCCCCCCCCGGCTTGTGAGCCTGAAGGCGGATTGGCCCTCTGAATACTGTCCAGAATATGATCACAATGGTGGTTTCGTCTATTCAGTGCAGCTCAGCGACAACCCAGCCAGATTTTCTAGGATGCATAGATGATGTAGGGACTTCTGTTTTCGGAACATGCTCTCATGACTCTCATGCAATGGAAACTACATTGATGCAAGATTCTTGCTTGCTGAAACCTGGCAGATCCATGTCCCGCGTGTTGAAAATCAACGCTCGGAATCAGATCAAAGACCCATGCACACTGGTTCACAGAATTCCGTCCCCCTAGCCCATATGATCCATATGGTGGTATTTATATGTATTTATCGTAATGGATCTCTGCAAGACACCAACAAAATGAGGTTTGCGATGTTTGCTGTGGGCCTGCATTGGGGACTTATGGCAGACCTAGCTGTCTTCTCTACAGGACCCGTGCATCCATGGGTAGTCTGTTAAGGGCAGCTATGGGCACTAGATGAGACCCTGCCGAAAACCCAATAGGATACAATAGACGGATATATACACAGGTGTTGAATATTGCCTGTCTATTCTTTTCTCATGCACTTGACAAGTCAAATAGGAATCAAACAGAGTGAAGGCTAAACATGGACATTTGCCAGGTATTGGCGCTGATGCGAGAAGATATCCAATCCGTATCAATCCGTCTAATCTGGTTTTGTCTGAGAATGTAATACACCCGAATTTTATAGTTCATGAAATTAGGATGAATTGAGGAATCCCCAATTTGGAGACAATCCCATTTGGCATTGACATCCAGTTGCCGAGTTTGAGTTTTGCTTCTCAAGCACAGAACAGTATGTTTTTTTCTTCGTACTGTACAGGCTACTGGGTAGTTCAAACTCCTAGGACTCAGTGCGTTCGTCCTGGTGTGCGTTCACGTTGGTTCTGAGATTGGACGCTTCATGTTCGCCTTGATGCTTCTTAGATGCCAGCCGGGGCCATTGGGGAAATCTGGGATGCCTCAGCCAGTGGCAGCCGAGGTTCTTGCTGACGACTTTTGCAAGTGCAATTACAGTTCTGGATCACCGCAACATGGCAGCATATGGCAGCACATGCTGAATATCTCTGAATATCAACTTATGGTAAGAGCCCAGGCAGCTAGCTATAGCTAGCTTCATACATGATATACTGTATTTTGAATCTTTGTTTAAAATGGGGGTTCTTCATAAATGATGCTTATTGATTGCTTATTGCATATGTTTCAGGTATTTTTTATGTTTCAGGTCTTGGCGGGGTTTGCACATGACCACCATGACCACCTGAGGCTACGAGGACATGAAGCAGTTCAGCGACACCATGATTTGCTTATCGGGCATTACCTTGCGGCTCTTTGAAGATGACTTCCGTGACCTGCACAGTGAAGCTTGGCACTGGCAATTTTGGGGTGCTTGTCGCCATGGTGATATGATTTGCTAATACTATAGTATATTGTGTAAGAACGATCAACAACATGGATAGAAGAATTGAATAATATATATAACATATATATATATATATATACATATATATATATATATACACCATCTGGTTATTTAGCATAGCCATGGAAAATCCCTTATAAATGGAGGTTTTAATGGGAAAATCATCTATAAATGGGCCATTTTCCATGGCTATGTTAAATAACCAGAGGGTAATAGTATACAATATATACAATATAGCAATGTACAGCAAGATGGCCATACCTTGGGTGCCTCGGGTCAGTGATTGTCAGTTTTTTCTTCATCCCCCAGGATCCTTTGCTGCTTACTGCAGTCTTTGGCTTCATTACAGCATCGGCAATTTTGCTTCTCAACCTTTTGATTGCCCAACTGAACTGCGCCTTGGTCGCACCAAACATCTTTGAAAAATCACTGGATGATCCTTAAATGCTACCTGGATCTCGGTGATCTCGGAGCCAGGCTCATACGTTTACATCTACCAGAACATGTTGGGCTATGCAAAGCTGAAGAGAGCCTCTGTCAACGATCTCCGGATGCATTCAGATGGCTGTTGTGAAAAAATCATGTGCTCAAAAAATGGGATGGTTTGAGAACTTTGGTAGTTTGATACGAAAGGTGAATAAAGGTGAGCAATTGTGTGACACATGTGGAACCATTTTGCTACACAATTTGTGGTCGCCATCATAAGATTCCATCCCGATACCGGGGCTCTGCCGAAGGTGCAGACTTTGGCGTACACCAAGCCACACCGTTGGCATTATTTCGTGCCTGGGACTGGGACTCCACCAGCTAAGCCACATTAAGCCACACTTTCGAAACCATGGGTTCTCGCAATAGAAATGGGCCCTGAAACGGCCCTAGTGTTCTGTGTCCTTTCTTGCCATGGCCAGGTGCAAACATTGGGCCTCAAGACCCCTTTGGAATTTAACGAAGGTGATGTGGGTATGGCTGGTGGCATTCAGGCGCGGTCACACATCACAATTCGCTACCCGGTATGCTACGCAACATGATTCTTGGAACATAGGAAAAGCCTCAGTGCTTCCCCGTAGAATACATGGGAGGTTGCAAATCTTACTAGATCTACCCTCTGGTAAACTAACATAACTATGGAAAATCACAATTTTTAATGGGAAAACTCACTATAAATGGCCATTTTCCATAGCTATGTTAAATAACCAGAGGGTAACCATCCTGTGAAGCTGTTTGAAACGACCCAAACCTCAGCACCCCAATCAAAACTCGTTATTTCTTCGACACAACGACACACCTAAAAACCAATGGATTTATCACAACTAAAGCTTGCAGCTATATAGGTTCAGATTAGGGTCCAAAATTCAGCTCATACGGTCGAAATTCTTTGACATCCACCATCATCCACCCAATTTGTTGGCACAAAGCAGCCTATTTGTGTTTCGTATCAACCCTCATGAGTGGGTTAGTGAGCGCATTTTGGCTCCATGAAAGATATGGTGCATATGGTGTCCCCAAAATCTAATGGTTGAATTCTTAATAATGTTTGAGCATTGTCCAGTTTCGGACCCCAAAATTTGCAATGATTCCTTCTTTTCCACCGAAGTTTCAAGACTTGAGATGAGATCCTTTAACATCAACTTTTAACCAGAGGCTTTTCAGTATGGTCTTGTGGTATGGTTCTCATTTTCTGGTTATCTTTCCAGATTTCCAGATCCTGGCGCTGGTTGCACCCGCCAGCAGGTCCTGGAGCCGCAAAACCTGACTGTGGTGGCGACGGATCGCATCCTTCGCTTCGGAGGCAGTTGCTCACAGGATTTGGAGTGGCCCGCAGACAACAGCAGGTCCGCGGAAAACGAAGAGGAGGCGCGAGTGAAACTTTTTTGGGCCACAAAAAGCCAGGACTGGAAGAAATACGGCGAGAGTTTCAAGGGGAATCGAAGCCGAAAATGGCGATGCACAAAGTCACAAGTTTGTAGATGGATGTTTTTTCGTTCGGAGATTAATATATAGTGCTTGTCTACCAGAGGGTAGGGCAAAGGAGAAATCCTCAATTTCCATTGGAAAAAACATGAAACATATGAAACACATTCCGCAAATGGAGGATTTCCATTGCTATATTGTTTGTCAAAGGGACATTTGCCTGTGAAGCACAATGACATGCCAAAAAAAAAGGGAAGACCAAACAAAATTGGTCCAGTTTGATTCAAACATAAAAATTACCGTCATGAAATGATAAAATGTTGATTTCAAAACATGTACCAACCATTGAATTTGTTGTTTTTTTCTCATGTTTGGGCCGGTCTTCAAGGCACGGGTTGCCACCAGGAGAAACTGGCTGCGCTGGAACACCTCCTGCACTCCACCCTGTCGAAGTTTAGGATCCACAGATGCACCTGAGACTTTTTCTCCATGAGATTCATCGATGCCATAAACCTACCATGACTGGGGATGGTTTATAGATGTTTATAGATGTTTATGCTAGCAGCCATTTATGGTGATTTGATGTGATTTGGGGATCATTTGCTTTTGGGTGTTACCACATTACTTAAGTGCTTGGTACTTAAGTATGGCAATGCAAATAGTTTCATTTCCTGGAGTAATGTAACCATAACGACGAACTCGTCAGTTACTAACTGGGATGCTTTTTTTCTGGTGGAATGCAGGAGATCCAAGAAACATGGTGAGTCCAGAAGCGGAGCAGATAGCGATGACCCGGAAAGAACCAACAGTGGCGCATGGAGTGCTGTCAGCGGCGTCAGCGGAGCCAGTAGAGCATTCAGCGACTGAGGCGACTGAGGCCGGGATTTGCAGATGGTGAAGATATGTTAAAAAAACTGCATTTGATTGCCCATGTAAGTCGCATAACAGGGAGTTTTGTATGAAGGAAGCAGCATATGAATATGAATGCATACGATGTTATGTTGGTCTTACAATATCTCATGGTTTTGTTTGTTACGTCTCTGTATATCTCTGATGTCCTTGCTAAAAAGTCTAGCTCGGCTGACCAACCAGCTCGCGTTTGCCCTGGCATGGAGGTTGACAGCGTTCGATGCATCTGCCATCATTGATGGTGGGGACCATAGTTCGATACAAGGAAGATGTGCTAATGCAAACACAAATACTAGGCTTTTCAGCGCAAATGAATTTCAGCGCAATGCAGACCACAAAGTGGATTCTGCCAGTCTTACGGATCAGAACACATCCCATTCAGGTGAGCTCTCGTATCCGTAACGGTGTTTCTTTTCGAACAACCTAGAGCTATTGTCTTGACGGAACAGAAGAGGATCTGCTTCAAACCAACCTCTTACTGCTGAAAATGCATGGTAGTTCTTTATAATTCATTATAATGTTTGTCATTGTTTGTGCAAATCATGCTGTTTTATGTGAAAAATCAAGAAACGGAGTGATTTTATAGGCACTTGTTTGTTTCACTCAGATTTTCAATCGAACCTCTTCTATGTATCTCTTGCTGCATATTGAGGGCAGCACTGATGCTGTCGCATGCAACAGCTTGTGGAAAGCTTGGGAAAGGAAAGGCTAAGACCAGTCAGAATATGTCAGAACCAAAATGCAAGATCCATCAAGATCGCCTGAAAACGTGGTTTGCAAGTTTGGAATCCTGCCTTCAATCCTACCTGATAGAAATTCCAGACATTTCTCTGAAGACGATCGTGCAGACGTGCAGACGCGCATGGCGTCCGTACGCATCTCCACTGCTTTAAGGGCAAAAAAACGTCGCCGCTTTCGCTCTCACACTCAGCTGCTCAAGCCCGCAGCCTGGTGTCGCCTTCACAAGCAGATGGGTGTGTCCAAAACTTCGGCATATGATGGCACACGATAGCAGACGGCATACTCGCAAATTGTAATTTGTCATAGGGGAAATTCATGGTAATCCATTGGAATTGAACAGATTTTATCGACAAAAACAGAGGGTTTTCTGGATTTTCACATCAGCGAGGGCAGTTGGTGGCACTGCCAGGCCGTGTTCTTGGCATTGGAAGAGATTGAGCTTCAAGCAATGTCACTGCCTCTTGGACAGCAAATGTTCCTGGCGCTGCTATCCTTTGAAGATCCCCTTGTTGAGATTTTTGGGGTTTGTGAAGCACTAGAATGCAGCCTAACTGTGCATAACCTACCAGGTAGTGCCCGGCCGTGCCGGGGCGGAAGTTTCGAAAAAATGAAACGGGCTATAAGAAAGCAATGGCCTATAGGAAAGTGTTTGAGATGCAGACGCAATGAAGTGTTGAAGTTGTGAGGTGCATCAACGAATGAGCAAGCGAACGAGCAAACCGTGGTTGAGATGCCAATGAAATGACATGAAAGAATCCATGCACAACTGACTGAACGAACCAATTAATCAATGAATCACTGAATCAATGAAGCAACGAAACAATGAATAAATGAATCAATGAAGCAGTGAAGCAATGAATCATTGAATCAATGAACCAATGAAACAGTGAAACAATGAATCAATGGATCAGTGAATCAATGATTCAATGAGTCAATAAAAAACGAGTCAATGATTAACGATTCAGTGAATCAATGAATCTGCAGTGAACCAACGAATCAATGAGTCAATGAATCAGTGGGCCAATGACTAATGATTCAGTGAGTCAATGAACTAGTGAGTCAATGAATCAATGAGTCAATATGAAACAATGAGTCAATGAACCAATAATAAATGAGGCAGTGAATCAATGAAGCAACGAAGCAATGAACCAATCAATCAATGAATCATTGAATCCATGAATCAATGAAGCAATGAATGAACGAATGATTGGATGGATGAGTGAGCTACCTCTTTGTTGAGCTACTTCTTCACTGAGGGACCTCTTGGCTCAGGTACCTCTTTCTCTCAGCTACTCCTTCTCTGAGCAGCTCCTTATTTGCGCTATTTCGTCTCTGACCCGGTTCCTCTCTGAGCTGCCTCCCAGCTACCTTTTCTGTAGCTTCTGCAACCCATTTTTCTCTTCGCGCAACTGTTGCAAGGCGTTTAGCAACCTCCAGCGGCAATCCCGCACAGCACAAGGGTAGCACTATCGTCAAACACTACCTTTAGCATCCTTTAGCGCAGCTGTTACAATGCGTCCAGCACTAGCAAATACTAGCAATCTCCTGCTGCAATCCCGCATAGCAGGAGAGTGGCAGCATCACGGATGCTTTCCTGCGCGCAGCTGTGCCAACACGTTTTGTCATAGCCGGTTGCAAACCCGCATATGCCAGGGATGTCGCGCCAAATCGACCAACGTTTGCGCACCGTCAACGTGCGGACTTTTTCGCGTTGCTCCGAACGCTTCAGTTTTTTTGCGTTATTTTCCCCACATGCCAGGTGAAGATCTCTAGATTTTCAATGATTTTAACAAAGGTGTCCCAGACTCATTCACTCCTTAACGCTTGTCCTCTCCTTGTTATCTTTCCTCTTCCTTTTCTTCGTCTCCTGTCTACTCGCTCTGACTTCGGGCACTAATGGACCCAAGCCACATCGCGAGCTCCAGATGCAGTGGGCCACGCCTGAACCTGAACTCTATAACGCGAGCTTCGGATGCGGTGGGCCACGCCTGGACCCGGACGCTATCGCAAGCCCCGGATGCAGCGGGCCACTCCTGGATCCGAACTTTATGACGCAAGCTCTGGATGCAGCAGTGGGCCAAGCATGGACCCGAACATGAAATATTAGAATAGATGCAGAAAAGATTGCCAGACAGAATGTCAGAACATTTGTCAGAAAGAATGTCACAATAGATGCCAGATAGAATGTCAGAATAGATGCCAGAAAGACTTCCAGATTCCAGATAGTATGTCAGGATAGTGTGTCAGGGCGGGGATCACTCGAAGAAAGCAATTTGTGAAATGACAGTTTTTGAACATTTTGAAATGCAAATCGAGCTCTTGCTGCAGTCTCGCGTGCTTTTTGACAGCTGCCGATCGAGGCCCGGGGGAAACGCAGAGCCTATAGGCAACCCAGGAGCCACCATACCTGTAAAAACACAGAGTTTCGCGCCCGAGAGTGCTTTCACCCTCGAATTTACACGCTTCCAGACTCTTTCACTTCCCAACTACTTGATGATGGGGTTTTCATGATGATGTGGTTGACATGATGGTGTGAGTGCTGGCCATGTCCGCCGTCGGTACCTCGGAAGTTTGCTAACTAAACTTCTTTTGGCTATTTGATGCTATTCGACTATTTGATCTTCAGTCCTCAACGCATTTTCATCTTCACTTGTGTTACTTATGGTTACTATTCTTGCAAGTATTTGTATCTATTTGTTACTTATAAGAAGATTTTTTTGGTATAGGGGGCTTCTGTTGTTGCAAAGGTTCCAAAATAATGGGGATTTCAATTTGACTTAGTGGTATGCTATGGTTTTGGTCTAATTGTTTCTTTATCTTTGGTTTAGTTGTTTTCAGCTTTCTTTTACATTTCTCAGATTCAAATAAATCTATCTGCCATTGTATTTCCTCTTTATTTCTTCGTTTCAAGAATCTGTTGTATTTTTCATTGCTTCTCTTACCTCTTTCTGTTTTATTTTGTCTTGCTAATTCTTGTACTACCTCTGATTTTTTCTAGGGGTCATTAATATTATATACATATATGTTGTTTATATTCTGGATTGTTTTCTCTCATCCTTGGGCTTACTTCTATGATAACATTGATTCTTTTCTTTATTTTTTGTTGCTTCCTGATATGTGCTTATGTAATGTTTTTCTTTTGTGCATTTTTCCCTTATTTTGTTCATGTCTTCATTTTCCCTGCTTTCCTTTTTGGATTTACATAACTACTAGTTTTTGGGTGTTTTCATTCCTTCTGTGGTTGTAGTTGCTTTTTCTTTTGCACGTTCTAGGTTTGTGTGGCTTGGTCTGTTGTTTTGTTGGTTGATTTCTGGTGGAGCCCCTGTAATTTTGTAATGTCACATTTCAATGTTATGTTGTTAAAATCTCAAGAATGTATGTATGTCTATGTATCTATCGTTGTACCTATCTATCTATGTATGTATGCATGTATGCGTGTATGCATGTATGTATGCATGCATGCATCATGTATCTATGATGATCGTTTGTTTGGTGGGGCACATGAGACTGCCATGGGTGGATGGGAGATGGCAGCCGGAGCCAGCAGGGCGCAAGAGAGCCAAGTGAGGAGAAAGCTCCCGGGTGGCTTAGGGAAGGGCAGAGCATGTGGGTGGAGCTGTAAGAGTGTTCAAGATGTGCCAAATGAGTGCCTGTTTGTTTGCCCTAAACCTTGTTTTCTTTTTAAGGCACAGCCAGGGCTGGGGGGGAGGGAGGGCGATTCTCTTGGAGAATGGTGGGTGAGGGCTGTAGGTAGGGAGATGGGCACAGTTGCATTGGGCTGGGTCGCCGGGCCTGTTCACGCAGCTGCTCAAAGCAAGCAGGCAAGCAAGGAGTCAAGAGTGGAGATGTGGAGATGTGGCATTTCTGCTGCTGAATTTTGGGGGTCTCATGATGACATGAATTAGGGGGTCGGTTCTGTTTCCACCCTTGCAAAGTCTTGTTTTATTTTTGGTTTTTGGACTGGGTTCACCTGGTTTTTTCCAAGGAAAAGTGGTTTTAGGCACACCGGTTCTGAAACCACCCTTATTTCGAATTATATTGAAATGATATTGAAATCGTCCTAACTTTTGCGAACTTTTCGATTTGGAGTGGAACCGATACAAAAAAAAATAAAAATGATTTCACTATATCTTGGTAACACGGTTGCTCGAGCAAAAGTTATCATGATTTTTTTTCACCACAAAAGTTGGACACCCCAACGATATCATTGGATATCTACTATGCACTTCTGGTACTCTATGTTAGGATGAAATGCATTCCATGTTGGGGAGATGTGGTGAAAAAAAATCATGATAACTTTTGCTCGAGCAACCGTGTTACCAAGATATAGTGAAATCATTTTTATTTTTTTTGTATCGGTTCCACTCCAAATCGAAAAGTTCGCAAAAGTTAGGACGATTTCAATATCATTTCAATATAATTCGAAATAAGGGTGGTTTCAGAACCGGTGTGCCTAAAACCACTTTTCCTTGGAAAAAACCAGGTGAACCCAGTCCAAAAACCAAAAATAAAACAAGACTTTGCAAGGGTGGAAACAGAACCGACCCCCTAATTCATGTCATCATGAGACCCCCAAAATTCAGCAGCAGAAATGCCACATCTCCACATCTCCACTCTTGACTCCTTGCTTGCCTGCTTGCTTTGGGCAGCTGCGTGAACAGGCCCGGCGACCCAGCCCAATGCAACTGTGCCCATCTCCCTACCTACAGCCCCCACCCACCATTCTCCAAGAGAATCG